GGGGTAGGAGGGAGGAGGGAGGAGGGAGGAGGGAGGAGGGAAGATGGAAGGAGGAGGGAAGATGGAAGGAGGAGGGAAGATGGGAGGAGGAGGCAGGGTATGGAAGAGCTGGCAGGAGGAAGGCGATGGAGAGGGAGGGATGAGGGAGGCGATGGAGATGGAAGCAGGAGGGAGGAGGCAGGGTATGGCGGAGTATGGAGGAAGGAGGTGATGGAGAGGGAGGGAGGAAGGATGAGGCAAGGTATGCCGGAGGAGGGAGGGGAGGCGATGGACAGGGGGGAGGAGAGAAACGATGGAGAGACAGGGAGGAGGGCGGCGATGGAGATGCAAGGAGGGAGGAGGCGAATGAGTGCAGAGAGTAAGTGTGCTAAGCGACTAGCAGCGGGCTACGAAGCGCACCCAGGAAAAGAGAAGTTTACACTGTAGATGCCGACGCTGAAGAACAAGGAGGAGAGAACAAGGAACAACAAGATGAAACAAAGAAAAAGAATAGGAACTTGAGAAGAGAAGCAGGGACTACTAAAGAAAGGAGAATAAGAAGAAGGAAGACTAAAGAAGAATAAGAGAAGAAAAAGAAAAAAAAGCTCACCTTTGCGCCATTCATGCATGGCACAATGGTCTTCAATGGCGGAGGTATCAATGGCGCACCAGACGTGACGACGGCATGCGGAGGAGGTTACACAGCAGAGGTGAAGATGGCGGCTGCAGCGGATGATGACTGACGCATGTGATCTCGCGGGGCGGGAAGGGCGCGACCGGCAGGGCGGACCACTTGTGTGAGCAGGGTGGCCAGATTTCAAATTTGGAACCTGGAGCTGCCCCTGCACCGTCGATCTGGGATGATCTACGGCCCAGGTTGCAAAAAAAAAAAAAAAAAAGAGTGAAACGTGGCCTTACCGGCCCTTAAAAATAAACTACCGACTGCAAAAGTTTCGTTTAGCATCCGGGCCAACCAACGGCGGCGCGATTTCTTTTTTTTGAAGCCTGTTTGGCCTTGGTGCTGGGGAGGTCCGGGAGGCCGACGGGGGGGTTCGCCCGGCTGACCGCCCCGAGCGTCATTCCAGGCGCCGCGGGGTACCATGTGCGCCCGGGTTGGAAAGCTAGAATGATACAGAAAAGATTACCATGGCCCCCTGAACAAGGTCGACCCGCATAAATGCAGAAATGCTCCAAACATTATTGAAATACATAAATATAAATATTGTAATTAAAATAAAAACAAAGAGAAAAAGACAAAAATACTAGTGTTACGTGTGTGCGACTCTCCTCCTCGTTCTCTGTCTCTCCACCTCTTACAACTGCTGCTGCCACTTCTCTTTCAGTCTTTTGTCCTTCCACACTTTCTTCTTTACCTCTACCATTGTCCTCCTCCTCTTCCTCCTCCCTCCTTTCCACTTTTGCTTTATCCAGTTTAACGGTTCTATGACCTAGTGATTACTCTCTCTGTAGGGCATAGATCTCAGATTCTCAATGTATCTACCCTTGTTTGTGAGAATTATGCAACCATTGTTCATGAGATGGAACACACGGGCGCAAGGGTCCCAAACTGCAAAATGGACCTCCCGTTGGTGTCTTGGACGAAACCCGTTTTTAAACCACCAGTACTTGGCACAGCTATCGGCCGTGGAAAAAAATAGAGTAGAGACGTTTCTAGTTGGATGAATTTGGGCGCTCCTGTAGTGGCCCGTACGTTTCCTAAAATCGCGTTGCGTTAGCGGGCACGACTTTAGGAAGTACTGCAGTGGTTTAAGTTTCCTTAACTTGTTTTCCTTTGATGTCAGACAGCTCTCAAGAGTTGATAATAAAGACAGCAGACATTTTTTTTCTCCATACAGCTGCACACCGACCTCAAGAATACCATTATCATCTCCAATGCTAGTAATCATCGATGGACGCGTTCCCGAAAATGAGACTGATCACAAAGGAGTCGAAAAAGACCACTTCCCGTGACTGCGAAAGAGAACCCAGAGCAGAGGAACTGGTTAGCGAAAAGGGAAAAAGGCCAAAACAATTTGGCCACCGATACCCACTCAGAAAGCTCACTCCTTTCAAAGCTTGACCGCGCACAAGAAACTGCAGTCCTGACCTCAAACCCCAACAAACAGGTTCTGTTTCTTTTTTTTTCGTTGTTTTTCCTTTTTTTTTTTGCCCAAAAGTTCCCCGGCCCTTTCTATTCTGGGGGGCATCAGTCCAGTAGCTTATCACCAGCAAGCCTGAGTACAAAGAAAAAGAAGGCGGAAGAAGAGTCAGCCCAACCCTTGCAGAACAAGTCACCTACTCAAGTGGGGGCCTGCTACAATCCTACCCCCCGCCAAACCGTTGCTTTCCTAGTGGGCTTCTGCTGGCTGGAAAGCTAACTGGCACCACCCAGTCACGCAGCAGGATTGTAGGAGAGGCATCGTGCGGGGAGGGTCATTCTAGCAGCCTTGGCCATCAAAGCGAATCCCCACTGGCTGACCAGTTGACTGAACTACCGACTCCGTTCCGAGTCAAGACCCTGAAGTCAGGGGCACATCCTTCGCTCCCGTCGTTTTTTTTTTTTTTTTTTTTGGCTCCCGTCGTTTATCAAGATGAACGAGAAGCCAAAGTTGAGAAACTGGATACTTTGGAGTGTCCTGGAAGTTGTAATTGCACTGCCTTATAGGGTGCTGACAATAGGGAGAGGGCATCATGAGCGCATGAACGTCGTTAGCCGGGCTGCATGGGACTTAATTATCCAACCAAAACTAGTAGGGGCCCTAGGGGGTCGCATGGGACTGAATTATCCAACCAAAACTGGTAGGGGCCCTAGGGGGTCGCATGGGACTTAATTATCCAACCAAAACTAGTGGAAAAATACCACATGATACCTCGTCTTTGTTGTGCGTGTGGGAAGCACTCGTGCAATCCTCTTAGAATAGCATTGCTGCATTAATCCGATATAAACTAAAACAAGTAGTAAACAAATAAAAATAGCCATTGTAGTACCATTAAAGAAAGGAGCACCAGTGAAAACTTCTTTTTTGGCTAATAGATGAAAAAGCATAGGTGTCACGGGACCACACAGAACAACCAAACAAATTATACAAAGGAGCATTAGTTGTAGTTTGAGAATATGTTCACTTTCAAATAGGTGGTCGTAGGCGCCAGTTGTAAACCAATTTCGCCATAGCCGTTTCTTTCTGGAATATATATACAAGTTGCGACCATTAATGCTCTACCAACTAAGCTATACACCCAGGATCCAAATAGGTTTAGTAGGATTTGAACCTACGATATCACCGTTATGAGTTGTGTAAGTGAACCAATTAAACTATAAGCCCATGAACTTGCTACAGAAACAACAAAATCACTCAAGGGTGGTACTCATAAGGCCAGGATTTCTGTTTTTTTTTTACGGGCACAAAATTTCATTAAAACACGAATAGAGTCAAGTTCATATTAGGTTATGTACATGTGTTGGTGAGTACGTCAGTAATCAACATAAATATTGCTTTGAGCCTTGCCACGTCTGGTCTGGTATCCCACTTATACCTCGCGTTCACTAACTCTCCGTTCAACTGCATCTCGAAGACACGGTCAGAGATTTTCCACAGACTGGCTAAATCTAGTGATCTCCTTTCTCGACAGACTATGGTCCCCGGAGCAGGTTCGTCATTCCGTATGTCCTTCATGCATGCTCCACGCATGAAATAAGTCGTGCCCGTCTCATTTTGGACATCTGCAACATCTCACTTGACTACGTCAAAGTGGGCAATTCATTTGGTGACTTGCATGGTCGACCTCACTAAACCAACAAGAACGTGGACTACGATTCACATTGAGTCTGACTGCGATTACATTGACTTTTTGTATCATTATTTGTTTGTTTTTTTGTTTCATTTTTGTTTACGAAGTTTTATGTATAGAAGTAAATTCTCTAAATTTATGACTAACCATATCTTATGTAATATGTAAACCAACGGAATATTTTTTGGTATAAACTTTGTATAGTAACCGATAAATTTAGGCAAAATACAATATCTACGTGCCTAAATTTTCCAACTCTGGCGAGCCACACGCGAATGTTTTTTCGACGGACAAGCATCTATAAATGAACCTTTCCATATAAAAGTATTACCAGTCTACTTCAGAAAAAATATATGTATCTCAACAATTTGTTTTCATACGCTGTACGTAATTCACTCTTTATGTGGTTGCTTGAATCATGACTTCAGTCAATGAATATTTGTTTTCAGGCTAGCGTTGGCTGGATTTACGCTCGTCGCTAGGTAATCGAGTGGTTGTACTAGCCAAAACTCATTTACGTACGATAATACCATTTGTTGATGTACTACAGTTGGGCAGTACCTTCCTTAGGTGTGAAATGTGATGTTGTATCTGGTCGTTTAAACTAGACTTCCATCTTTATCAAACGAGAAAGATTTTATTATGGTCATTGTAAACAACTTCTCATTTTTCCCTTTCGTTTCTCTTTAGGCTCGAAGTGCAACCATCTAAAATTTATAAGCAACTTCTCATAAATTGATCTTAGATTTTTACATTATGTTATACTGGATTCCTTCCTAAGCCTTTGAGAACATTTATGATTTACCTACAGACAAGCTATCGGTACCTTTATTTTGTTTTATTTATGGTACGTCCTAGGTATTCACCACATTGTTGCAGTGGTGTAGTTGCAAACGTCTAGCACATCGACGCACAGATCATTAAGAAAGTGTGAACTGTTATTAACACATTGTAAAGTTGATCATTTCCACAAAGAATTCGATTTCCTGCTTGTGCTAATTACATGCGAATTAGTACAGAGAAGCATGTGTCCATTACTTTAACAATTGCACCAAAGATTATATATAAAGTACCTTTATCCTTGTGGTTTATGGAAAACAACCATCTCTGTGCAAAATTTGTCATATTAATTGTTTCTCATTTTTCAACAACAAAATGCTTTGTTGAATTAGTTTGAGTTTTCAAAAACGAAATCCGTCATAAAGAATTTCGCAAAAACTCTCCATAATATCTAACAAGTCGGGTGGAATGTTGATCGTATAAAGCACCTACACACAAAAAAAAAGGGTTGAAGAAACTAGTCCATGACTTAACATAAGTGAATACTCCCTTCAATTCCTTATATATTGAATAGAGTGAAAATCCCCCATTAAGGAAAACATATCAGCAATACTTGAACCCTCACTGAGCCGAACGAGATAGTCACCTATCATACGGCTCTTTATTCTACTTGCTTCATAGTTCCAGTCTTCGAGTGAGTCAGTTGAATGAGAGGTCAATATATGACATGATTTTTTATTTTTTGTTGCCTTGTTTCTTCAGTATAATTTCATTTCGATATCGAAGACCCTTCCCGTTGTAAACTTGGAGGCTTACAATGTTCGATTCTGACAATCAAATTGTGTATCATTTTTTTCGGTCAATTCCAGTACAACAAATCAGGATAGGTTTTAAGCAAAACACGTGAACAAAAGCGGAACTTGAAGTTTCATATAATGACTCTTAATTTCAAGATAAGCATGGAGTTTTGTGGATTAGTACTAGGTTTATACCCAACATGGATCATCAAAAATAAAACGACACCAAAACAAACAAAACAAATACATAAGTTCATGGTTAAAGACTCGTCAATATTTGGTGGTTGATTGTATCGAAGCAGTTGGACCTTCGACCTTCTATGTACCAGACAACCGCCCTTTGAAAATTTCGGCGTATGTTGCGAATAGCCAGACTCACCAGAGTTGGCAGATTGTTTACTTTTAGACTGGATTGAATGTCAACATGTGGAAGCACCTTATGTAACAATATATACATATTTTTTTTCCCTTATACTTCGCAATTACTATGACATGATATTTATCATATCAAAGGTTCAGGTTAGGCGTATCACACAACCGAATCCTGTTAGTCGCATTAATTTAATTAACAAAAAACAAAACCACACATATGCCTACAATGAATCTATTAATTCGTCATGGTAGAGAATTAAAAGGACGTACGCAACATGCTCGAAATTTAAATCAATGTCCTAAAAAGCAGGGAGTATGCCTTCGTGTTTTTACAAAAAAAAAAAAAAAAAAAAAAAAAAACTCGGCATTGCGCGAAATAGCTAAAGTGAGATTCAGCAATTTAAATGAGGTTATTGTATACATTCTGGGAGAAGGTCATAATTCACAAGAGCACCTAGGCTATTTTTCCAGGCGCCTGGGCACCCAACTTATGCCCGGGTACACGCCCGGGTGCCCGGCCGGGCATGACCGCCGGGTAGGGGTCCGGACAGCCCCGGCGCAAAAAAAAAAAAAAAAAAAAAAAAAAAAAAAAAAAAAAAAAAAAAAAAAANAAAAAAAAAAAAAATCGGAAAAAAAAACATGTGTTGTGTAGAATTGCAATACAAACAACGTTTAGCCGAGGGTCACATTTGAATTCCCCACAGAATCGGAGATAAAAAAGAAAATAACAGAATCACACTAAGGCAGCCGCCTTAAATCCCCTTTAGCCCCTATAAAACCAATTTATACCCGTCCCCCCCCCCCCCTTGACAGCCAACTCACAAAAAAGAAATCATCCCGGATTTAAGGTCCTCTGGGAGAGCGCAGAAAACAGAAAAACCAAAAAACAAAAAAACAAAAAGAAAGTTTAGTTTTTTTTCTTTTTTTGCATGCTCTGTTACCCCTTGCGTCGGCCACCCCTGGGTGTCGCGCCTGGGTGCCCGGCCAGGCAGGACCGGCTGCGCGTGAGAATCTTCCTAGAAGAGCACTCTATTGTTATGGTTCGAGGAGGTAGAGTCAAAGATTTCATCGCCATTGAAAGAGTGGGTGAAGTTGCGTGTCCC